TGATGACGTCTGATATATTCATAAAATGTCATCCAATGATGTTATTACATAATTTGTTGTAGTTCAGGAAACTGTGATGATTGAAACATAATAATTATAACGCTTAAAGGTTTTAATATTTGTCATGGAAAACCAATTGGGTCACAATAGCAAGGAGACAGTTAACACATAAACCTTTGATAATACGGTGAACTGAGATGGCAGTGTTTCTGACAATATTGCACTCACAATATATTCCTTAATATGCAAGACACGATGTTTATTAACACTATTAGAAAAACATGAAACTTCGTTTTAGTTTAATATGGATTTAGTTTCTTGTTTGAAACTATAAGCTTGTTGAAACACTTTCGAATCCGTTTCTGAAACCGACCAGTACACTTGAAACATTAGGTCCTTTATTCCGTCATTATTGTGAAATAAAAAGAAACAATTAATTTTAAAAGCTAATACCTTTAATCTGACACCTAACGTACCATTATTCGGATACTAGTTCGTATATTGTAGAAAAGAATCGTTTACAACTAAACAGGTATGCATACCAATGCCTTTACAATATTTTAATCTGTTTTGAATTAACACTTTGAGAGATACAAAAATTATGACAGCAAAAACAATAACTGTTATGTAAAATTTTCGGACAAATTAATCTTCTTATTTCAAGATAATTATTCGATAATGTAAGTCGTAACAGATCAGATTTATCTCGTTATTACTAGATAACGATGTTGTAATCTTGTACACTAAATTGTATAACTATACGAAATCATTAATTTTGTTATTCTGTATTTTATTGTCATACTGTCTAGAACGCCCAAAGAAAAAGAAGAAAAAATAACTGTCAGTGGCGTAGGCGTAAAGTTTAAACATAGAATGACATACCGGTAAGCTGACCTGTTGTTAAGAGGACCTTGTTCACATTATATTGAAATTGAGCTTCACATATACAAAAGAAGGAAAACATGTCACGTAAAATGTGCAATCAAAACGTTATCGGAACTGAATATCATTTTTCTATATCATGCTGATATTCGTAATTCTAATGATAAGAGTATGTTTCTCGGCCCTTAGTAGATATGTTCTACGCCATTTTGTTTTTAAAAATTAAGAAAAACAATATCCAAAACTGTATAAGAAATGTACAAGAAGCTTATGAAATACGCAAGAATACTTTTAAATTAAAGCTGCTTCATAAATCTAATCTGTGTATTATATAAGTGTTAATAGTATTGCTTATCTTAGTTATACTTCACATAATTATTTTGTAAATGGCCAAAGGCAATTGTTTTGCTGATTTTCCCAATTAATTTGAAACTTGAAACTTGCTAAGCTTGTTTGTCTTAGTAGGTCATGTCATCGCCGAGAGACAAACATTGGCATTTTCGTCAATTCTTAGTAAACAATGTCTTGCGTTAATCGGGATTTCTTTGACTGATTTGGTATTTGCTTCAGTATATGAGCATGTCGAAAGAATCATCTATATTGACTATAGACAATCGTTCTCGAATTCTGGAACAACTGTGTTGAATTTCATTATGTCTTAATATGTGTGATTTCCAAAGTTTCCAAGTTTATTACCCTTCCGTCTTAGTCGCGCGTGAATATATTGGTTTTATATGTATGGATATTTTTAATCGCGACTCTTTGCAAACATGATACTTCTTTAAAGTCATTACAAGATTATAAGCATAAATACTTTAAGAGGATTGATGTCTTAAATTCAAATAGTATTTATAGGAGTCAGTGAATGTTTGATAAACAGAAACATATATTATTATGATTTATAAGCATTATATAAAGTTATATATATTATATAAATTTGTACCACATACATGTAGTTCAAGTGGTTCATTCTCAAGTTCACACAAAATACAAATAAATATCAATTTGCTAAAAAACATTTAAGTACAAAACATAAAATCTAATTTAAAAACAAAAACAAATCAAATAAAGTTGGACAGAAATTATCAGATATTATATCTTAAGGAAAAAGTAAAAGAGTTAAATGTTCAATCACATTTAAAACTATACATTTCTCAAATTGCAGAAAAGCAACGATCACTGAACGTATACCCTCCTATAATTTCCAGACGCAAATAACAAATTAAAGCTTATACTTGTAAACTTAATTGGTGACGAAAACTGACCACTGAAGTGACTTTAAATCAAGGAAACTTTACGACTTAACTATTCTACTCAGAGTTATAAATTTGTACAAAAAATACTTCATTTATAACAGGTCAGCATTCAATTTTGAACTACTTTTACCTTAAATTGTCAACACTGAACGCCAAAAATATTAAAAATGTTATGGACTTGGTTTGGCTGGTCCAGTTCATGAATGCTTGAATTATGTGCAATTTATCGTCTACACCCCTTAAACCGACTTTAACAGACATTAACTATTCTAATATGAACATTTTGAATTGAGTCACATCCAAAAAAAATGAGAATATACGATTGTCATCATGGAATGTTTAGTGAAAAAGCGGCGCATGTATTATATGAATTTGTTATTCAATAATACAGAAACATTGACACGTTTGTTCTTGTTGATATCATTTCATTTTTGTAGAATTGCTGCTTTATGTCACTTAGTAATTATAATCTCCATAATTTACAAATTTAAACTTAAGGGCCTTAATTAAAAAATGACATTGAAAACATGGTTATTGTTTCCAGTTGATGTCTAAATGACAGAAACTCCCTACAAAGATGATATCTTTAATAAAAAGATATTTATTTTTAATAAATGGTACTTAAGTCTGAAATAGATCTACAATGCGGTTTGTGAAAAGTAGATAACATAGCTTAACAACAGACACTACATCTTTATTTAAATATGATAGTCCTCTGTGTCTGACATGTTTACGCCAGGAATAATGTTACAGCATAATAAGTATTCTGCCATTTTCTACACTATTACGAAATATTGCTTTATGAGTCATCATTATGTTCATTTCGAAACTAATAATATTCGCAAGCAATTTAACATAAAAATGAAATTTTATACACGGCAACTATTCTCTCAATGATTGCAAATCTGATTTAGATAAAACTGCTTGATGGATATGCTCAGTCTGAATGTTTGTCATTTAATTTTAATCCGTTTCTATGGAAACAACCAGAAACCGATAAATTATGTCAACAACTCAGCAAGAACTACACATATAAATTCAATGACTGGGCAGACAGTTTAGCTTTTAAATGAATCAACATATGTCTGTTATCTTTCATTTTGTACAATATGTCAAATTTAGATGGAAATTGCAATATATTGCAACCTACTTGACTCGTACACTTTCGAGTATAGTGTGCAATGACTAGTAAAAATTGTTTAAGAAAAAAGTGCAACTAAAATGCAATGAACAAATTCTTTCATATACATTCTGTTATTCAAAAAGAAATATGTTGTTCAGAAAATGTCTAGAGTGAAATGTAGATGCATCGGTTACAAGTCACTTAAACATTTTGACAAATAACCCTATGAATACATTTGAGCAACTGGATTCACAATACTTTACAGTTAAGGTTATATTTAAATGAGTAATTCTTCATTTCATTTTATTTCCAGATGCTCTTTTTTTTTGCTTTCTGTTCTGACCTTAGCTTTTGCTAGCCTCTATTGCAACATATTTGTCCAATTATCATAATAAAACATCTATGGTACGCAAATTGATTGAATGTGATTTTTATCAATTTTTTGACAAAATATTTGTGTTGGTTAGTGTATATTTCGCCCACGAACATTGTATTTTGTTAACGAACAATGTTCATGCTTTCAGAAATTGGCTATAAAGTTATCGAAACCAGATTATGTTTCAGTTTATGATTCATATAAAGCAATTCAGAAGATAAAGCTATATACTCTTCGAAATGACTTGCAAAAGGATATTCTGCAATGCTATGTAATTTTCCTTTCTAAATATCATTTCCACTACATATTTTTCACGTACATATGCCTTGTAGAAAGTTGTCATTATTGTATTGTTGAAAGATTAGTCAGTTCCATAACTTCTCAGGAATAACGCATTATTATATTTCTTTGTATAAATTTGTATGGTTTTGCATTGCTCTTTGATAAAAAGGATGGGATTTTTATTGTCAGTAATGGCATATGTTGGATGTGTTGTTTTACAATATCTTAATTCATACCATGTAATGAATACTTGATAAATTTCTTACAGTTGTTAGAAATCTCAATCTATAATAGGACTTTATAAAAACAATCTTCACAAAATAACTGCTCAGGCGGTCTCTTGTTTTTTGTCGGATCTCTGACGCCATCGTGAATATTTAAATATTCCAAGTCCTGTCACAAAGTAGCATTTTTGTTACGGATTTATGCCTAAGTCACACATTTAGGATCTTTACTGCCGTCCTTGATAGGATCATTCCCGATTAAAATGTGTCAAAAGTCTGATCAAGATCCTGTCATTCGTGACTGGAAATTCAAACTTTTATCAAAATTTGTAAAAACATTTATTTAATCACGACAACAATCAGATATTGTTCAGGAGGCGTCCCGATCAAGCCGCTTCCAGCAGAATTCGTCCCGATTATCCCGTTCTCAATCCAATTCTGATCCGATTTGTATCTTTGTCATGGTAAAAAACGACCGAATCTGTCCCCGACAGCGGGCCTTTAATTATAAAGTAGTCCAAACTAGGAGTTACCCATTCATGAATAAAATAAATTTAAATAAACATTAAACAATATTTTATTTTGCTTCACAATAAGTTATGTCACAAGTTAAACTCCGCTGTTAAATTAAAAGTCAATGATACATACAAGATGTGACACATACTAGCATAGTGTTCTGTCATTTTATTATATGGTCTTCATTCACGGCGAGGGTTGACCATCCTCATCTGCCACGGTACAGATCCAGCGGCAGAGGTAAGATAATGTTTGAGATATTGTCTCTGCTTCTTGTCCTGTATTGTTACACGGTTAGCATCCTGAACATTGACAACGTCAAGCATGTTTTGGCCCATTCTTCATTCTCTGGGTACGATCCTTGCGTCCTCGACATCTTCACGATCAACCTGGTTAATGTTCATGTTTGGGTAGCGTATTCTCATTAAGTTGTGGAGACAGATACAAGCCTGTACGATGATTCTCACATTGTCAGGAGTGTGCTGCATGGTTAACAACAGTATTTGAAATCTCTGAGCCAAAATGCCAAACGCATTTTCAACAACTCTGCGTGCTCTTGACAGCCTGTAGTTAAAGATCCTTTCTTCTACTGTCATGTTACGGAAAGGGAAAGGCTTTATCATGTCAGTTTTCAGTTGAAAGGCATTATTAGCAACAAAGAAGTATGGCATATTTCTATCAACTCTAGGAAGTGGCTCAGGATCAGGAAAGCCAATGGTTTTGTTCTGCAGGACTTCTTTCAGCTCACACTCGTTGTATATTTGTACGTCAGAAGCTGCTCCATCTGGCCCAACATCAAGCCAAATACATTTAAAGTCCGAATCTACGAGGGCCATCAGGACTATGGAGAAGAAGCCCTCGTAGATAGGTAGGTAGATCCGGTATTTGGTGGGCATTTGCACGCAACGTGCTTTCCGTCCAATGCACCGCACACATGTGGAAAGTTCCATCTGCGGAGAAATTCATTTGCGATTTTTTTTCCACTCCGCTGGGAAAGTGGGGCAGGCGAATTCCACTGCAGCGTACTCATCAATTATAGCTTGGCATACTTCAGGGATCTTGTTTGGTGATGCGGGATGTGATCCGAGCCAGGACTTTATCATATAGTTCCATGGACAGCCTCATGCAGTTGATGAAAGCTTCTGGATCTTCTTCTCTCAGCTCCCTCATCAATGTGCCATACTGGCCGAGCTGCTCTCTTCTGTATATCCAGGGCTTGACCCAGAATCTTCTATTTCTTCTATTTCTACCGGGTCGCATTGCCCTTCTGTTCAGATAATTATTGGCAAACAGAAGGTCTTCTTCCTCTTCCATTTCTATGAGAGCAACTTGCTGCAGAAGTCTCCGCCTACAAGCAGCATTCATGGTGGACCGGTCAAAGTACTGTCAATGAATGACACACACACACAAACACACGTTATATATATACTCCATACGTGAGCAGCTCAGCCGAATCTGGAAATCCACGCATCTGAAATCCTACAACTGTCGCCATATTCGGGATGATCGGGACACTGCCGGAACGCAATCCTATTACAGTCTGCTGTACCACATTACATACGCCTTTGTCTGGTCTCAGTCGTATCGTGTTCTGTTATTGTCGTGACTCTGACGTGGGTATTATTGCCGAACTTCGTATTAATTACTGAACTGTTCCAATACGGATTCGGCAAAGACGGTTCGCATTCGGCAAGATCTGGACACAATGACTCAAGCGGCAAGAAACGACAATGCAAAATTTCTCCAGATCATGCCCGTTCCACAGGACACTGACCAGAAAACAGAGGACATTGTTACGATTTTGATCCGATACAGCAGAATCTGTCACGACAAAGTCACGATTGTAATCCGACTAGACAAGATCGGCCGAGTTTCCCGAATGTTACGGGACGCACCTAACTGTCGGGAGTGCTTGGCCGACCTCTCCGGACCAGTCCCGATCCGTAGGACTCTGCTACGAACATATACGACTGCGTTCAGACAATGATAGGACATTCCAGATCATTGAGGATAGTAATCCGACTTTTTTGCATTTCGTGTCGTAGCGCTGTCTGATCTCAAACGGGAGCCGTATTCGGCACTGTGTGAACGCCGCATTAAGAACGATAAATAGTTTTATGATTTATTTATTTATAGATTAAAATTTATTTAGGAAAAATGAAAGAAGGGGTGGGTATCAAAGTAATTGTAAGTTACTACATATACGTGAAAAGTAAGTTATCAAATAAAAAAATTATATGGCCGACTTGGTAACATGGACGAATTGAATGATATAATAGCGTTAGCGTCGCGTGAATTTCATCGATTGCTCGGACATTGTCATAGCGTCTTTTTCTTTATTGTCACTTCTTGTGTATTGTATAATGTTATATGTTCCTTGTAAAGAAATGTCATAAAATACATATATAAAGAAAACGACGTCACGACAACGTCCGAGTTATCTGATAAAACGCGACGTTAAGGCTATAATATCATATAGTATACCGGATATATAAAGTTTTTCATCTAAAGGAATATTTATTGAGATTTATAATAATAATGTACAAATGTATAAATGCTACAATGATTTATTTCTTTGAATTACAGCGTAAACGTTTGTGATAAGCTTGTATATATAACACAGATGAACATTTTGTGATATTTTAAAATGAGATATCAGTTGTTTAATTTTCACTCTGCTTTTATTTTTGAATTACATTCAATTTTGATTACACAATGGAAGGAAAGGGTTGTACATAATTAAGTGTTTGTGTACATGATTTGTCGTTTGTATCACTACATATTGTAATGTTTCCATGTATGCAGACTGTGCCAATTTGAAAGTAAATATTAAATCTTATAAAAAATATTTTTAGCCGTTTTGTTTATCGTCTTTGTTTATTTCTCCATATTTTGCTAATGAAGACTCACATAAAGAAGAAAATGTTTATTAATGGAAAATTCCTCTCCAAATATATTGTGAAACTAATAATTTTAGATTAGTTTACAAATACACTAGACAAATAAAGACTTAAATTTGTAAAAAGATATCTAATTTCAACAAGAAGCAAAGATTTAAATGTTTCTAAGAATCTAAAAAGTAACACGTGATATTGTTTTTGTTTGAAGTAATCAAAGTACTTAATTAAATACAACCAATGTTTACGACAGCAATCTTATTCGAAAATAAAACATAACAAAATCGTTGCCAAGACCACGATATTTGGAAAATTACATGTCATTTGAGTATGTGTTTCCATAGAAACAACGATAATTCATTATGTTCGGATTGCCAGCTCAGCTGAACTCGGCTGTGTATATGAATTATTTTCATGATTGAAAACCAACAAAATAGTGAAATAAAGCCACCAACAACTTTAAAATGTTAAAGACACTATTGCTCAGTACTCTGTTTAATTTCAAACCACTCTGGTTTTCTTATTGATAAGAGGTTATAAAGGATTCGAAGATAAAAAATATGTGTCTTGAGTTTGTAACGTATACATCAAATGAAAACGAAACCGATTAATAATAAATAAATAGGCATTTGAAGGCATATGCAATTGATAAATATAAATGGAATGAAAGCTATATAATCACTTAAACCGAAATAATAACTCCACAAATAGAAATAGATATTCAAAATGATAAGATTAAATACAAGTCTAATTAAATTTTTTCCTCATTTAATATTATTACAATCGCATAAAGTTTCCGGAGAAATCGAAAATATAGGCTTATATTTGATTCAATAGGTTACTACAAATATGTGTTAGTAATAAGAAAGGATACAGCAATTGTTCGGCAATGATTACGTATATTTTTCATTTTAACTTTGTGATGTTAGTTCGAAAATTACAACATACCAAAACATACCACTTTCCTAAAACAGTTTTAGTAAGAAAGCTCATGGGCTTTATTATCTGATTTACAAAATTAATTGTAGATTATATGTTAGAAGAATACCTTAATAAGCGTTTGATATTTTCGAATCTTTTCGTTTTTCATCATTTATCTTTTGTGTTTATACCATTATTGTATAAAATGTTATGTACATCGTGTTGAAATTAAACCAAATTTTTTGTTTCGTTTAAATGTACTCAGGATGATAAAATGTATTTAAATATTGACGCCTATAGGGGTGGTGTCATACAGGAATAAAGAAGACTATTTTAAGGGAACATTGCATGCTTCAGGAGTTCTGTTGCTATTTCTGTTTTCGCAGAATGATATCGTATTTAGTCGAATTCCGTATGGTACTTTGGTATGAACAAATCTCTAAAATTCGAAGTGTTCTGCTTGCAGCGAAATATAAAAAAAAATTAAATTTCAAATTTTATATACTCATGTCCTAGATACAAGTATCTGCAATATGGTTTGTATTTCAAAATTCTTATATCCTAAGGATGTGATAATTATATATATACCATAATGTTAATGTAAGCCATTTGCAATGGTTTGTAACGTAAAGATTTTAAAAAAAATGTCTCTTTGCTTTGTCCTTTGAGCACGCAGCAATCTTTAAATTTTTATTAATACATTTTTATTTTGGGCATGCAAAATTTTATGATGTTAACCCGTTTAATACTGGTGACTTATTTATATCATTTGTTTAAAAGAACGTTATTGCTTTGTTGTTATCATATGGCATGACCTTATGAGATTGCAATATCATGATTATTCCTGTTAATCGTGGTATGTTTTATATATTCTTATCCAAATGATCAGAAGCGATTATATAAGTCAGCGAAACATTTCAGGCTCGGAAACCATTCAAATATACCTTTTTTAACACTTGGAACTTTTCAACCAGACAGAAATTCGTATTCTTCTTTGCATTACAATATCATAAAATACAATTTATTTGACGTTTGTTTTGACGTATTTATTTTAGCAGATTGATTTCCAATATAGAAATCAAGATAAAATCATATCTGTTTGAATAGCACGTATATTTAAAATTAATTATTTAAATGTAAGATATATTAAAATTAAATTTAATATTCAATTTGAAATGGAAAATTTGTTGATTTGACTGATGCCTTTTAATAATCAATTCTATTACGCAGTTATACGTGGTATGACACACATAAGGTAAACCCTTATTTCCAAAGACAGTAGAAAACAAATGAAAACGTCAAGGAAACCTCTACAAAACTCAATTTTCCTGAGAAAAAAAACACACCAAAAGACAATATATCAATAATATGAAAGACTACAGATAAGATTCATAGTTTATCAATAATGCATGATATTATTATACAGAGTTTATTTGAGCAAAATGAAATAATGATAATAATAATAATAATAATGAAATAGTTATAATAATAATAATAATAATAATAATGATAATAACAATAATAATTATAATGAAAATAATAATAATAATTATAATAATAATAATGATGATGATATGATGATGATGATGATGATGATGATGATAATAATAAAAAATATGACTTGATCTCACACATTTATACTATTTCTCGAATACTATTTCTAGAATACATTCATTTAAATATTCTAAATTGTTTATAGATAAATATTGAATATTGTAAAAAATGTATCACTTGTTTAAAGAGCAATTCTAAAACATCGATTCTGATATTCCAAATCCTATGAAGTATCTGTGAATATAATCCAATTAATCCACAGGCCTAGTGTTAATTAAAACCAATCTGGATCAAATAGGTGATCATGGTTTGATTTTCCATGCTTTATGAAACTTAAATTGATGGTTTTATCCTAAAATTAAATGGAACATATATAAAATATATAAACAACATCTGACTTGCAATGAAACATTCATTATTTGCGTGACATGGACACATAACAGTTCAAATAGAAAATTAATCGGATAAAAATGAGGATAATTTAAGAACCATGATCTATGTTGAAGTCTTTATGTATTTAAAAA